TCCACAATCTCGTGGCTCTTCTTCCTCTGAATTTTGTCGCAGTTGATAGAATTTGATTCAGCGACTTTTACGCATAAATATTTTTCGACGTTTAACTGAAAGACGTGCTCCAGTGGATTATGTGTACAGATTCATTGTAACCACGATGTCTTCATTTGCAGAAAAGAAAGTTGTATTTTATTGAACTCATTTTATTCATCACTTTTTTTATGAATAAACATAAAACGAACGAGGCAGAAGCCGAACATTTTTTTGGTCAAGTCGAACATTTTATCCATTCTTAAACAAAAGATATTTTAAATCTTTTTGTTAGGTTTACTTTATTTCTAGTTTGGGACAAATATCTAAATAATACTGTATCTTTCTTTTCTTATATATCTGCTTAATTGCATCTGTGTGCACATAACTAATTAGATATAAAATGATTTAGAACACATTTTGTGTTGTAATATCTGTAATACTACTTCAAAAAAAAAAGTGATGAGAAAGATCTGTCATAAAATATCCAATCATATTAATGAAGTTTGGCTAAGTATTGAAGATTTTTTGTTGTCAATAACTAGAAGAAGCCCATAACTACAAAGATTCTTTGCAATTTTGTACATAATTTTATTGGATTGCTTTGTAGTTATCCTATCCTTTAGAAGCTCAAAATATAAATGTGGAACATGGCCCAGAAATAAATAAGGTGTAGCCACACGACTTGAAGAAAAAAAAACCCAACTACATAGCCTTAAAACCATTCAATGCAATGTCCCTTGAGGGCCCAATATAATAATAACTTATCCAATCACATCTCTTAACAATTTTCTATTTCGACGGCTTAACCTACACATTACATTAGTCAAATAATACTTTGTTTTTACGTCCATTGCAATGAATCAAGGGTTTAAACCATAGGAATCTCTGAACAACCGTAGGAATCAAGTAAATATCAATCACTTGTTGAAGATTGGACTTTGTTATTTTCATAATTAATTAACGAGCTAGATATAGTGTCTCTTTATATTCATGCCTATGTTTTCTGTTGTCATCTTCTATATATAACATATTATCACAAAATCGAGTATGTTTTTTAATTATTTAGAAGTTCGAATCTGTTATCTTCTATATAAAGAACTCCATTGGTACTACACTAAAGATATCCAGTAAACTTACATCGGATATATAGCATAATTTCACATTTTAGTGGAAATTAAATTACATCTTATGTGTAAAAACGTTAGTAAACATTTTGGTCAACCAATCATTACAGCAAAAAAACCTTCCACAGTCGATATTATTTTAGAGTATATAATATGTATATTGAATTTGCTTAATATAATATACAAAAAGAACAGAAAGAGTGCTACGACGACTTAGTAAATGACTAATAAGTAATTTACTCCGATAACGAAAGCCGGCAACGACCGGCGTGTTCCGTAAGAAATACATAGAAATGTCAAAACCATGTTTCAAAGAGACCAAACCCCAACAAAAACAAATTCCTAATCTTTCTTCATAATCTTCAAAATCAAAACCAACCCTTTTATAATTTGGTTGATCTTACACAAGTTTCTTGATCTATGGGTGATTTAGCGAAGCAGATACTGACTCGACCGATTCAACTCGCAGACCAAGTAGTTAAAGCCGGAGACGAAGCAACAATCAACAAGCAAGAATGTGCAGAAATCAAATCAAAAACGGAGAAACTCGCTGCTCTTCTCCGTCAAGCGGCGCGTGCGAGCTCCGATCTATACGAACGTCCCACGCGCCGTATCATCGACGACACTGAAAATGTTTTAGAGAAAGCATTGACCATGGTCCAACGTTGCCGTGACGATGGCTACATAATGCGACTCTTCAACATAATCCCCGCCGCAGCATTCCGTAAAATGATCTCTCAGTTAGAAAACTCCGTGGGAGACGTCTCTTGGCTCCTCCGTGTCTCAACTCCCGCAGGTAACGACGACGACGAAGGCTTCGGTTACTTAGGTCTCCCACCAATCGCAGCGAACGAACCGATCCTATGCCTAATATGGGAACATATCGCGGTCTTAATGACCGGCACGCCGGATGATAAATCCGACGCAGCCGCGTCATTAGCTTCTTTAGCTAGAGACAACGATCGATACGTGAAACTGATAGTCGAAGAAGGTGGAGTCAACCCATTGCTAAAACTTGTGAAAGAAGGCAAAATCGACGGTCAAGAAAACGCGGCGAGAACAATCGGGTTATTGGGTCGTGACCCGGAATGTGTTGAGCATATGATTCAGTTAGGCGTGTGCACATCGCTTGCGAATATTCTTAAAGAAGGTTCGATGAAAGTTCAAGCCGTCGTTGCTTGGGCTGTTTCAGAGCTTGTCTCTGGTAATCACGCCAAATGTCAAGAGCTTTTCGCTCAGAACAATGTGATTAGGCTACTCGTGAGCCATTTAGCGTTTGAAACGGTTCAAGAACATAGCAAATACGCGGTTGTTGCGGGTCGAGCTACTTCGATGCATCACGCCGTTGTTATGGCGGCGAGTAAGATCGGAGGAAGTAGAGATAATTTGCCGGCGTTGCACGAGGATGATGATGATAATAATCAGATCGGGATTCCGAATCCTATGACGAATCAGATGCATAGCATTGTCGCGACTACGATGGCGATGAAACCGATCGGATCTGGATCTGGATCCAAAAACCGATTTCTTACCGGAGATGACGAGAGACCGCCGGAGAAGCTACCGGAGAAGAGCTATAGCTTGAGTTCATCACATAGTGGAATCGCGAAGCATCAATCGCGAAACGCATCGGTTACTAGAGGGAGAGAGCTTGAAGATCCGGTGACGAAGACTTACATGAAAGCAATGGCGGCGAGAGCGTTATGGAAACTCGCTGTAGGAAACGCATCGATCTGCCGAGTCATCACCGAGTCACGAGCTTTACTCTGTTTCGCGGTTTTGCTAGAGAAAGGAGACGCGGAGACCAAGTACAACACAGCCATGGCGATAATGGAGATAACCGCAGTCGCCGAAGAAAACGCAGATCTGAGAAGATCCGCGTTTAGACGAACTTCACCAGCGTGTAAAGCGGTGGTTGATCAGTTATTCCGAATCGTTGAAAACGCAGACGCAGGTTCCGATTTGCTTATTCCTTGCGTTCGATCAATCGGAAACCTAGCACGAACCTTCAAATCAGCAGAAACGCATTTAATCGTTCCTTTGATTAAACTCTTAGACGACGGAGAACCAGATTTAGCGGCGGAAGCAGCGATTGCGTTGGCGAAATTCGCGACGGAGGATAATTTCTTAGGGAAAGATCATTCGAGGACGATAATCAACGGCGGAGGAACGAAGCTATTGGTGCAGTTAGCTTACTTTGGAGAGAACGGAGCTCAGATTCCGGCGATGGTTTTGTTGAGTTATGTGGCAATGAATGTACCTGATAGTGAGCAATTAGCGAATGATGAAGTGTTGATGGTTTTGGAATGGGCATCGAAGCAAACGAATGTGATTGAAGAAGATGAAGATATGGAAGCTTTGTTGTATGAAGCTAAGAGTAGACTTGAGCTTTATCAGTCAAGAGGATCAAGAGGCTTTCATGTTTGATTTTTGAATCTCGATGAAGCATTATTGTTTTTAAATTCGATTAGAAAAATTGTAGGATTTGGTTTTTCACATGTATTTATATGGTTTTTCATGTAAATGACTG